CCGCACCCACCCCCACCGGCACCCCGCCGCTCCTCGGGGCTCCCGCGCTGGTAAGTGCCATGTCTTTGAAACCGAATTGCCATCTAAGGGCAAAAACGCCAGGTGTAAGTCGAACAGAACTACGTGGATGCTCTTTAAATTTAAAAAAAAAAGCTCTCATGTGATGCAGTATTTCAGCGGGGGGAAGATCTGTTCTACATGCTACAGTGTACCATGATTTCACAAGAAATCGGCAGCACTGCTATTTGTGATGCTAAGGGTGGGCCTGAGAAACTAATTATGGTAACAAATGACATTGCTTGCATAGCTGCCAAATATGCTAAAAATAATTATCTTAATATGAATAATGTTTAAGGGAAAATATATCTGCTGAAATCACAACTGAATCTGAAAAGTGTGCATGTCCAAGTACCTGAGGCGTGATTTGCTTTCTTGCGTTATGAAACCTGCTTTCAAGCAAAGGCTGCATCTACATTAGCATTTTGGTTTGGATCATGTCAGCTTTTTTTCAAATGAATCCAGTGATCTTCTCTATTCCCCATGTTTTGGCTCACACCATCGAATGGCTTCAGAGTACTTGCACTGTATTTCTTCTGAATAAAACCGAACTGGAAGATGCATTCCAAATATCAGCAGGCATTCAGTCTGCAGGATCAAACTAGAACTAGTCCAATGTAGAAACCTCTGAAGCAGATACAACATGGAGCAGGTCTTCAGCACCAACTCAGTTCTGCACACCCTCTCCTACTGCATTGCACTGCTTGCTGATGTAAATATAACTAAGACTCCCATGGAATCTTTTAAAAATCAAGTTTTCCAGTTTTCTAGAACTGAGGACACTTTAAAAAAAAATCTCCCATGACTTGCATTGCAATTTAAAAAAAAAAAAAAAAAGACCTATTGGTACTTTATAGCTCTCTTCCCCCATCACTTTTACAAGCTAGTTTTTTAACAGTCACTCTTGGGAAGATTGCTATATATGCTAGGCTACAAGATCCAGCTGCATATAAGAAATCAAGACAGAATATGTTCTAAGCCTCTTTAATACTGTAAATAAGTGAGGTAACATCAAGACCAGACTTTCAAGAGTTTGCAGTGGTCAGAGGCACTCAGTGAGGTGGCCAGGCTTGTGCAACTGCCTAGCATCAACAAGATGCAGTCAGCAACTGTAGAGGTAATGAAAAAAGGAGTTTTCCCTTTCATACCCTAAATGTGGATGTTCACTGCTTTTTTTGCAAGGTAGTAATAATCAGTTACATAGGTAGCAACAGCTGGACAGCAACTGAATACATCTGCCAATTTCTAACTGTATTAGTCCACACTGCAGAAACTGAGTATGGATATTTCCAATTTCCCTTTCTCTGCTTCATTTAAACTCTAAAAAATCCGGTTGTATTGCTAAATGTACAAAAAGAGCTTCAAACAATAATCGCTAATTTAATTTATGGAAATAATAAGCAGATATGCCACAGCAAGTCAATGCTTCATTCTTTTGTCAATTGTGTTGTGACTTATTCTGAAACCAACTGAAGACAATAGAAACAAGAAAGCTGACGCTGTAAGCTACAATGTGACACTAAGTTCCTCTTTTATTTTCAGAATCAAAATAATACAGATAGAAGAGGAACGAAGTGAAAAGTTAACTAACAATATGAAGTTACTCATCTTCCTCACAGTAACGCTGGGCACACTTGTCACGGGACTAGATTCTGTAAGTTTTGAAGTTAATGGTGGGGGGGTTCGCTTGGAACCACTTCTGGTTTTGATTATACTTCTGCTTTGGACAGTGTAGTAGGCTTTTGACTTGAATTCTCCTTTTTGCTGCCTTTGCATGTACATATACATCTGCTGCACATACACCTCCATGAAACATGTTTTTGAACCCTTTGGTTTTTCTTCTGATTCTGCTCCACCCTAAGATGTCGCCAGCATTCAAATAGTGAAGACATCATGCAATAACCAAGAAATCTAGCTTTTCTATTTTTCTTTTAATGCACTTTAGACCTGGACACTGAGTACCAAGAGCTCACTGGTCTTTCATGGAGGTGGATGTTGGGCCTTAACTAAATTTCCACCTCCCCTATTTGAAAGTGTGATGCTAAAAAAGGAGCAACAGATATGAATTTGAATATTTTTTTACTATCAACTTCTATGACAGTTGATATCTATCGGCAGAGCCATTCACCAACATTATGGAATTATGTTGTTACCGTTACTTGTTTTAGCTCGGGTAAGCCCACCTGGCCTCTGGGAAAAGTATACTAAAAGCCTAATCTTATTTAATTCCATGGAGAAAGAAATATCCAGCCTGCAAAGCAAAGGCAGGACCTGAAGTACAGGGCAAGAATCTATTGTTGTATGAATCTACTGGCTTTTATTCCATGGCACAAGCGTGAAGCATCAAGTTCACCAAAATGACAGAGGCAGCTGGAGAATATTGCATCTTTGCTGCACTGCTTGGTGGCTGAGAGGTGGAGAGGGAGAAGTTCCCTTCCCTGTTTTAGGGACACTGACCATTGGGAGCGGCTTTGGTCCTTATAGCAGAAATAACTGCAGTGTTGACCTGATGCAATGGACCAGATTGGTGGGGTTTTCCTGAGGGTTTTTCGTGTGGTGTATGGTTTTTTGGGTTTTTTTTCTTCCACATTCTGCTTCTGCTCAAGTAGAGTTCCACTTTTCATTCCCATCCAGATTCCACCGAGCAGGCTGAGCTTGTAACTACATGCAAAAAATCTAAACTGTTAAAGGTATGCAGTAGGGAACAGAGCTTGGGCCCATAAAAGATAATCAAACCACATAAAAGAAACTGTTCCCTTAAAATCCTTTTTTCTTTTCCCTTAGGTTTATAGCAAGAAACACTACAAGCTGCCACATAAACACAGATCAGATCACAAGGGTAAATATCTGCCTGTTCTACTTGAACCTAAAAAGAACTTGTTAACTTGCAATTACATCTTCGTACAAGAAGGAAGACTCTTAAGGATACTTAAAACTTAGTTTGGAACTACATTTCACTTCACCATTCAAATGTTTTGCCTCTAATTAGTGACATCTTTTACTTGCAGAATGCCATTGTTTGAATGGAGGAACCTGCATTACCTATTACCTTTTTAGCAGAATTAATCGTTGCATATGCCCAGAAGGATACACTGGGATTCACTGTGAACTGGGTAGAGTATCTATCTTCCTTAATACTAACTAAATTCATTGAAAAGATCTAAAAAGATAGGCAAATCATGAATATGAAATGCCAAGTGAAAGTATCACCCATAAACACATGACTGGATATCCTTTAGCACTTTATAGTAACAGACTAAGTGAGGAGAAACAGCTAAATATTGGTGCAAAATCAGGATCTCTAATGTTTTTTTTTTTTTTGTCCCTGCCTCACTAATGTTGCCTACCTTCTCACAAATGTTTTAGTTTGGGGGGAAAAAGTGAACTTGTTTGGGAGTGTTCAGAAGCAGAAGAAGTTATTATATTGTGAAGTACATTGAAACTATTAAAGAAGCAACAGGCATGCTTTAAAGCATAAGATACTTGATGCTCAAAATTCATATAGAACGAATTTAATAAGAATATAGAATCAGTCCAGATTTTGCATCTGTTTTCAAGTGTCATGCATGAACTTTTTTCTCATTAGAAGAATCCATACAGATTATTTCTGTCTCAGAACAATTATAAACAAGAACATGCTGCTAACAAAATATTTATTTTCTCAGACACTGACAGCATATGCTATACTGAGAATGGGGAGGACTACAGAGGAGTGGCAACAGAAGATCAGTGTCTGCCATGGGACCTTCCCTCAGTAATCAGGAGGGGTCACTACCATGCTCACTTGAAGAATGCTTTGCAGCTCGGACTGGGCCAACACAGCTACTGCAGGTAAGAAAAGCATCACTCTTCCTGGGATGACTTCTATTGTCATAGCCCCATAAGTGCCTCAAGTGGTGGTACATGTTTTTAAAAAACAAAAAACAAAAAAAACCCCAACAACAAAAAAACACAAACAAAACCCCAGATTATTACAGAGATGAATTTTGACTAAAAGTATTTGGAATATGACTCTGAAGTGTCTAGAGTTCTCGCTACTGAAGCTGATCATACTGCAAAATTCCCAGTATGCAACAGTAATAGTCAGTTGTTAATTATTTTCTCTGGCATATCTTGCAACAGAACACTTCTGGCCTTTTCAGAACAGTTAGAATTCTAAGATACTTTAAGTCTTTATGAAAAGAACACTTCCTTTATCTTCTAGAAACCCAAATGGAAGGAACAGGCCCTGGTGTTATACCAAAAAGGGATTCACCATCCAAGAAACACCCTGCAACATAGAGAAGTGTGGTAAGTAACATTAGTTTTAAGACAACTGTTTTTTTGTTTGGTTGTTTTTTTAATAGCACAAGGTTGGTGCTTAGTTGTAAGAACATCTGAACAAAATTTCTCCTTTCGTAGGGCGTGCATGTGGTCAAAGGAGCATCAGCAAGTACTTCAAGATTGTTGGTGGAAGCCAGGCAGAGGTTGAGTCTCAGCCTTGGATAGCTGGCATCTTCCAAAACATAAGGGGCATCGACCATTTTCTGTGTGGTGGCAGCCTCATTGACCCTTGCTGGGTACTTACAGCAGCGCACTGTTTTCATACTCCGTAAGTTTACAGTTCTGCATCCTTCCTATTTGCAACTTTCTTCAACAGATTTCTTTGCGCGATGCTCACTGAGCAACCCTTCAAAAAATATCATAGTAAGAATGCTCTTTTGATTAAGCAAAACAAGAAAAGCAGCTATAAACATTAAGCCTCTGGGAGTCCAAGTCTAGCAGAATGAGCTAACGCAAACATTTTGGTGGATTATGCAATTTAAACAATTTTAGCCCAAATTGGAGCCAGGGTTTCATTTTACCTTAGCTGTTCCCAAAACTTAAAAGTTGTACTGAAAGGTGATGAGCTGTTGAGCAATACATTTATGGGTGCTTTTTGTTGTTTTTGCTGTGGAAGGCTGATCCTCCTGGCATCCTGCAGGGGATTCTCATTGCCAATGTTTGGTATGAGTAGCAGCTAGCTAGGTGTACATTTCAAAATGCCTGAACAGCTATCTTAATCCCTTCAACTGGCAAATCAGGATGCTTTCCTTTAGAATACTGTATCAGCTTTCAAAGCTAACTAAATCTTGCTTTTTCTTGTCAGCATTAAAGTAAACATGAAACAGAACTGGGACTTGATCTAAACTGTTGACCTCTCTCTCAGAAACTGATAGTCTTCATGAATCTCTTTACTCTCACTCAGGTCAAAAAAACCACAAAACAAATCCACCTACAAAGTCTTCCTTGGAAAGTCCATACTGAATGTTACTGATGATAAGGAACAAGTATTCATGGTTGATGACATCATCTCTCACCCTGACTTTACAGATGACACAGGTGGCAATGAGAATGATATTGGTAAGTGCCATCTTAATATGAGCCTTTAAAACACTGAGGATAGCTGAAGGCTACGTATTTGTGGCATCCATCTTCTAAAAGAAGTAGAACCAGAGATGAGATGAAGGGCAACAGGAACTAGGTGCTTCTGAGAACCAGGCCTGTGCTGAGCAAGATTTTTCCACTTGTATAAATTTGGTTTGTGGCACACGTCAGATGCATTACCTGGCACACAGTCAACTATAAGCCTGGCTTATCTCTGGACCTGTACAAGGCATGGCTTTTCCATAAGCACTGGTGGCAGCACTCTATTTCTACCATCTTCCCAACTGGAGAGGGCTGACTGTCAGCAGAAATACGTGCACACCAGGTCTAGCCATTCAGAATGGGGCAGGGCGTCCTATACACATGCAGTATCGTTGCTCTGCTTTGAGCATAGTAGGCCCAGAACTTTGTAGGGTAGAGATTACATTATTCTATGTCTACAGAGATCACGCTGTATATATAGTAAATGATGAAAAAATGCATGCACTGTAGGTTTCATCATATAGTCAGGGAATGTTGTATCTGGTACCACATTAGCCGAAGGTTTTCCTGAATTAATCCAGACTTTCATAAGTCTCTTTGGCTTTCACAAGCCTATCCCTAAACCAACAAAGTCAGAGATGGGTTTTTGCAACTTGCACAGAACAGACTTGCAATTCTTGCACTTGACACTTAGAACTCTACTTTTGCTGCAAAGCAAAAAGAAGAGCTTCATAAGCCCTTCTGGTGAGAAGTACAGTATAAACTGCCCCCTCTTCAGCAGGGCAGCAGGTGCCACCCTCTACAGCCAGGCGGGAAGTTGAGGTTTTAAAACATCTGAAAACACACTTGCAGAGGAATTTTCCCTGAGCTATCACTCCCTATCCTTCCAGGAAGGAAGTTCAAGTTGGAATGTTTACCAATTTTAGTGCTGGGAAATTAATTTTGTTGTTACTAAATAACAACCCAGTGTCATTCCAAAAGCAATGACAGGAACCATATGTAACCAGAACTAAATGTAATTGCAACTATTTCCATTAACTGTACCTGATACTCCTATTCTCAGAGAACTTGAGGGGAAAAACTTGTTTTACAAATCTAGCTGTATTTTCTCTGACTTGTTTCTTAGCTTTGATAAGAATAAGAACAACTTCTGGACAGTGTGCAGTAGAATCCAAATATGTCAGAACAGTCTGCTTGCCAGAGAAGAACCTTTACTTACGAGACAATACCCGGTGTGAAATATCTGGCTACGGCAAACAAGATTTTTGTAAGTGAATGTCTTCTCTTACCAAAGTTGTACTTGCACAATGTGGGAACTGGATGTTTTTTATACGGTGATCTGCAAAGGATTAAAAAAGATTCCTTTCTGTTATTTTATGTACTCCATGTGCACCTCTCAAAGATGACCTTTGCTATCATCATCTCTAGTTGTCCATGGCATTTCCTATCTGATGCTTCTCACACTTGTCAACCATACAAAGTAAGCCAAGATGTAAAACACAGCAATTTTTTCATTCCTGATGTGGTGAGGAGTAGAAAAAATTAAAGCTGTGTTGGAGGATTAACAAAGGATTGCATTTGTGCAGAACTTCCTTCAAAAACTATCAAACTCTCTCCCTCTAAAAACCAAGCTTAATCGTTTGCATTTGGAACACTTGTTTTTCTCCCTAAAACTTATTCATTAACAGTAAAAGTAAACTAGTAGTGCATAAGCTGGAAATAAGATCCTCAAATCAGAACTGGAATAGTTAGGCTAATTTCTTTTAAGTGCTGAAAGTGTGTGTTACAGGGTTTTTTGGTTTTGTCTTGGATGGTGAAAATAGTTAAATAATCTTTTCTTTGCAGATGACATTTACTATGCTCAAAGACTGATGTCAGCCACTGTAAACTTAATATCACAGACAAAATGCAAATATGAATACTATGACAATATCAGAGTTACTGACAACATGGTCTGTGCTGGAGATCCCACATGGATGACTGATGCGTGCAAGGTAAAACTGATTTGTTTTATCTTCTAAACCATTTTAAATGCATGTCCACTATGTGGATCAGCTGGTGGCATCTTGTAATTCTATTAGTCAGAAGAGTCTCTCTTTATGTAGCAGGAATTTAGTACATCCAGTGGAGTTGACCCATAGTGTGGCCAAACATACGGAAGAAGGTTGGGACCTAGAGTTAGGTGTTACCCCAGTCCAGAGCCTCTTTTGGAGGAGCAAGAATTGCGGTATCTTAGCCATTGTTATTCCCCAAGGCCTTATTTACAATCTATTCAAGCAATGGCTGGTAGATATGCATCAGAGGAATACAGCAGCTATTCCAATCTCAGCTTGCACTTTCTTAACATTAACTATAGCTCTGCAAAGGGATAAAAGGTGAACTGCCGGGGGGTACTGAGCCCTTCCACAGATTTCTCAAAACTATATTTGCTTCCCTGCACCCTCACTGGGCAGAGTGGCCATATGAGCCACTAAAAAGAACAAGTGTTGTCCTTGAGTGTAAAAGTACCTTACGGACAGGGAAACAATTGATTCTGTGATGAAAACTGGATGTGTTGGCTTTGACCTTATATCACTAGCCTAGTATCTGTGATTATAAACTTACGATGGAGTGTTGTGTGCAAGGTAACTATTCTCTCTGTGCCCTGCTAGGGGGGAACTAGAGAACTCCTTATCTTACAGACTGTGTTCAAGTCACAGCAGATGCTGAGCCTTCTGTTCCATCTATGCAGTGTTCTCAAAAATCAAAACTTTAGCTCATAGGTATTTACTAGCCTGTGTCACTCTAGGAAAAAATAATCACGGGCTCCCTGTAATAAAGGCTCTATCTGCAGAAAATGGCCTAATATGTTCTCTTTCCATTGCCAGGGAGATTCCGGTGGCCCCATGGTCTGTGAGCACAATGGCAGGATGACGCTTTATGGGATTGTCAGCTGGGGAGATGGCTGTGCAAAAGAAAACAAGCCTGGCGTTTACACCAGAGTTACTCAATACCTTAACTGGATTGATTCCAATATGAATGCAATAATCACCAAGAGTCGTTTTCTCCCTGAACCAAAGTGACCTTTTTTCTACATCTGGACTCAAGTGAACAAGATTTAAGCCTATGCTGATGCCAGGGCACTAAAGTCCTGAATGTCATAAGAGGCTTTCCTTTTAAATGGTTGTGTGGTCTGCCACTCACATCAGTGTTCCTGAGGCAGAGAGACGGTTAATATATTATCTTACTACTCTGAATTATCTGAAAACCACTCCATGGGAAGCTAAAATATTTAACATTTAAATGAGTATTCCCATGCATGATACTATGCATATCGAGTTATCTGTCCACTTCATTTATGAACCAGCATTTGGTCTGGAAGTATTAGTAAAGTTTTAACTTATTTAACTCAAGTATTCGTTTTATACATGGCCTGAGTCTAAAATCTTTCCTCATCACACTGAACAATGCTAAGACTGAAGTCCTAGAAACCTAACCTGTTAAGACCAATACTGAGAGGGTGATCAGGCTTTGCATCAGAAAGTGAAAGAAACTGCATCAGCATTATTATCACTAATGTGTGAAGAAGGACCAATGTCTACTTAGACTGAGGCAACACTTCGTGTTATAGACCCAACATACAGTAAAATCTTAAGGATGGCACCTTTACCTGTGTCAGCATTACAAACTCTTAATATATTCCATTAAGAACTGTGTTGCAAGAAGGCAAATTGGAAACTTGACTGGACTTCCAGGTTACATCTGAAGGTGTCTGGGTCCCCTGAAAAGTCTGATTTATGCAACCTCTTTACAGGTACCATGTACCCAGCAGGGGATTTAAGAACTCAGCACCTACTGAATGCTGCAGATGTCAAAAGTCAGAACTTTATTTCCATTCATTTCACTGATATTATATGGAAACTACTTCTTTTTTCCAAAGGCTTATGCTGGTTTTATTTTTAAACTTGTCTTTGTTTTATAGATTTGGATTATTTGTATGAGGGCTGGAACCTCGAGCTTTATTTAATTATTTTTACTGTGTTTAACTTATTGTTTGTATTATGGATCTTAAAATATCATTAAAAAACCCTGTTATTCTTATGTGTCTGTTCCTCCTTTCTTGAAAGGGGAAGGGTATGATTTGAAGAGAACTGCCATTGTTAAGTTCTAATCTGTACCAAAAAGTCCCTTGGTAAAACATAAACGTTTGAACTTCTTGTTTACTAAAGCATTTCATATGAGAAATTAATGTCTTCTACTCTGGGCTAGAGTGCTAGAAAACTATGTGTGCACTAGCAAGACATAGAGCATGGGATGAAAAACAGTGCTGAGGATCCAATATCCATGCTGCACGTGCTTCAGGACTCCCATCTAGCCCTGTTGTGGAACATTAGGTGAACTTGTAAAGCAAAACATCCTGCTTAGGCTTCACCCTAAGGGAATACAGTTGTCATGCTCCAGAACTGCTCTGCAATAAGATCCAAATCACTTGGTGGTGGGGATCAAGAGATTAGTTTCAAAAGTTCACTCATTAACTTAACTAAAATGCTACTGCACATGGAAGAATGCAATGCAGCAGTATCATAGAAAGGTGCTAAAAGGAAAGTGATAGTTTCAGCTTTCCTCAGTACTTCTTTGTGGACACTGATTTTCCCAAGAGAAGGAATTGAAGTCAACCTGAAGTACTGCTAAGCAAAATCTTAGGTAGTAGAAATTATATCTGAACAGCAAGATTTATTTATATTTCAGCTTATTTTCTTTTTTAAGAAAGATGTTTAGCTAGAACAGAATTCATAGTAGAGAGTGCTAAGAACAAATACATACGTAAAGCCAACTGCATTTCTAATTCTGGACAAAATGTCACAATTAAAGTAAATTCCTATTAAAGGTACGTTCTTTTGTTTGGGCAGACAACAAAGGCAGAAAATATTCTCAAGATCTTCTCTTTTGGGTGGTTAAGGGAACACAGTGAGATCCTAGCATCACTTCAACAGCCTAAAAAGCATGTGCTGTCTGCTTTGATTTTGTTTCTTTTAAGGAAGGTACAAGATAAGACAGATGGGAGACACTGCTATAAACAGTGTTTATCGCAAATCTACAGAGAAGAGTTTGTGTCATAGCATGAAGATGCCGTATATTTGTGTGATGTTTGTAATTGTGAAAGTAAAAGGCTTGCATATATCATAACAATATCCTACCAAGCATTAAATGACTTCCTACACTGAAATGGCCATCATGGAAAAAATTAGCAGCCTAATTAGCAGGCTAATTTCTGAAGTTAGCAGTCTCATCCATCTTCTTAATGAAAGAACACAGTGAGCCAGCAAGACTCTAATAGTTACTGGTCAAAAGATCTCAGACTCGCAATTTGGCTTGCCGTTTTTTGGCCTAGTTTTAAAAAAGTTAGTACCCAAATGTTTTGTTATTCAACTCCTCACACAAATGCAGAATTTGGGGTCAAACTATAGGACCGCCAGCAAAATTTAACTGACCTTTGTAGATCAGACCATATTAATGTTTACTTTCTCATTATAGTTCATTTAAGAATTCAGAAAAAAAATTCAAGTGTGTATGTGCAATCATTCCTTATGGAGCTTTCATACAAACCTTTTGGTCTCAGTCACTAGCTGCTTAATGATGAATGACTACATATTTCAGAAACGTTTTGGAAAAGCCTTGAGCAAGAAATTTGTTGTGACCTACAAGCAGTGCTCTGACTACAAATGAGCAGAATTGGCTCTTTTTTAAAAGTACTCATAATAACATTTTGATCAAATGTTTTTTGTCATGTTATACACACAAAAGAATGCCAAAAACCTCCGAAGAGAGAAAAACTTTTTTTCCTTTTTTTTTTTTATCAAATAGAGATGAGCTAGATAAGCTCAACTCATTGTTAGACTGATTGATGTCTTCACTTCATAGCAAGGCAACTGTGAATTCAGAGTGGCTCAGCTACCAATTCAACTATAGCAATCCTTTCAAATATCAAGGGAAAACACATAAACTAAATTCTCTCTTTCCAAAAAGCACACTGGTATTTGTGAGAAGCATGCTACATCTTGTACTCCGGGTACATGAACCTTGCACATTGGTGATGGAATGATAAGAATAAGAATCTTAATGAAGTCTTGTCCTTTAGACTCAAGATGGAAGCATGTAACATCTGGACTATTTCCAGCTCTGTTATTGTTAAGTCACATGTCTTTATACTTCAATTTCCCTTCTATAAAACGGGTGGGACAGTACTTCCTTTCTCCCGCAGATCTGGCTGGGTATGATTTGTCAGGAAGAGGGAGGGTTGACAACTGTGTGAATGTACTGTGAGTAACATGCCAACAGCCCAGTCTCATACAGCAAGCGCTACTTAAACGCGAAATGATTACTGACAATACTGGATTGTGAACTGTTTGGCAATACAATTTGTGGTTGGGATCTGCAAACAGAAATTTATTAGTTGCCACTGTGTGCGGTAGAGCTGTTCGGCAAAAGCGTGCTGTTTGTGGACTGCTGATCAAAGTTTGTGCAGGGAGTTAAAATTGCATTGTTTCTAGAGAATGAGTTGGAGATCTCCTGCGAGAGACTGTGAGACTGGAGACTGTGCAAGAAGAAAAGGAAGGCACCTCTTCACTGCTTTTCTAGACAATAACTAACAGGACAGCCTGACCAGTGTTGGCAGAGAATACTTTAGGTACAAAATAAGCAACGGTAATACAGTTTTAGACAAAAATATACTACGTTTTAATCACGTCTTTTGGGATGCTACAGCTTTCTCACTTCAGTATTTCTTTCATTTAAACATCTATCAAAGTACTAAAGTCAACAAATTTCCAACAGGTGGAGAATAGAAATATGTTCAGGGCGATTGCATATTATTATTATATTGAATATTATCCTTATCTTGTAATGAACGGCACATTTGTCATCGACTTCTATGGGCTTTTTCTATGAATAAAGTCAATACAATTTAAATTTCAACTTATTCCCATGATTATGAATACAAGTATGAAAAAGGAGCAATAAACAAAATTTGCATTTAGGTCTCTCATTTTGAAATTTAGGAAGCTCTTTAGAAAGTATGAATAAAGAGAGAGTCGTGAGAGCAGAGGAAATTTGGATGTTGTTTTGGGTGTGCAATCTTATTTGTTCTTTAGTTTATATTAGATAAACTGCCCCAACAAAAATGAAATCTTTAAACAAACATACAGTGTACATATATCTCTGCTTTGGCTGATATAATACTTCATATACTCTCTTTCAGTGTTCTCTGCATGACTTTGGCCCCACAACTACAATATCATCTGGCTGGCTAGTTATCAGAGCCTGGGAAAAATAAGGGCTGAAGATGAGAGCTGTTTTGCAAAACTTTATCTTCCTGCATCAGAATCCACAGGAAACCTTTTCTTTCCCTCCTTACAGAGAGTGAGCAGAGGACAATCCAGGTGGTGGTGCTGGTGAGGAGGAAGAGAAGCAGCCTAGAGAACTGTGCATGGAGCTTGGCAAACATGACTGCAGAATGGCAACAGAAATACTAGAGAGGGAACCTTTTTGGAAGATACTAGATATCTGGTGGGCACTAACATACATGCAAGACAAATCCTGATATCATAGATCTGCTCTTACTTAAGCATATCTTTCCTTGATTTCAGATATGTGGCAGGCAACAGAAAGGAGTAGAACAGGAATCCAACAAAGATTTAGAAACAGCTGAGAGAGGGCATCAGCCAAAGAGAAGAGATCATACTCTCAGAAGCCTTAGGACCATAACTAATATGAACTCAAGGCCCTACTTGTCTCCAATACTTCCACAGAAGAAACATACTAAGCAATGAGGATAAAGCAGTATCTGATGTGTCCAGAGTATAGGAAGCTAGTTTAACCTGTCAGCTCTTACAAGGAAGTGATGCATTCTGAATGGACAGACCACTTTACCTTATATAGCTGAAGCTTTCTTCATGGAAGTGAAACTAAAATGTGACTCAAAGCACTTAAAAATAAAATCTGTTTTAAATAAACTAAGTTATGATGAAACATGATATATAGTCACCTATTTGTTGCATATGTTACACCACTTCCATGTAGAATT